TGAATTCTAAAGGTTTCTGAAGAGTCTCTTGGCCGAGACGAAACGCCGCGTCAGACTAGCCACGAACATTTCACAAGTATTTCACAATTGTTTGCTTTTGTATAAAAAATGATAACACAGGTAATCAAATGAATACGTTCCTACAGTATCAACGCAATTTTACTGAATGCCGAAGGCTGCCTGCAGGATCATTTATTTTAAAATGTTATGAAATATCCAGTGCGTTCTTCAAAATCCACTCAGCCCAGAGAGCATTCCTAATAACGTAACCGAGGTGAAACTCCACACCCAATATAAAACCCAAAGGAAGAGAACAGCAATTTTCCTTGTATAATCTTATCACGCTGATAAACCAAGTTTAATGCTCTCAACTCAGGAGAACAGAACAACAATGGCTTGTGATGTAACGGTGTTGGGAATGAAGTTCTCCGACAACAGGCGAGTGCCACTGAACGAATCACTAGACTAGCTTAATACGGGATATCACAATTTCCCATCCTCTCCATGGGACGGGCCGGGTGCAGTTCATATTGCCCTTAAAGAGACCTTACTCCTCTCCAGGGTTATGATTCCCTCAAAAGTAGTCCTTAGTCGGGCGTTTAGACTCATGGTTACCGTGGCAACCCATCTACTAGCGACTTAGGCGACGTAATGCCACGGCTACTTTGGCCGGGAGGGACTAGGCTGACAACGGCGCTTTTCTCGCCAATCTCAAATGATTGAGATTTCGCTTTAAGGCAACAGCATGTGCATCCTCTACGTGCCCTTGCAAAAATGGCGTCGTTCAAGAAAACCAGGGACTTTATTCTACTTTCATATGACATAGGCTTGAATAACGACTTCCTTCTCCTGTATCCGTCTTACATGTGTCAGAACTTAGATTCGCCTTTTAGAACCGCCTTATATTCCAACCACAAAATAAAACAATAAGCTTGATTTCAGTACGCGCAGGGTGATCGTACAACGCGATAAGCCTAAACATAAAGAACTTTAATTCTGATAAAATACATCTTGAACAGTAATAATAAAAAATATATTTTTAGGTCACTTGACTTTCCGCACATTTCTACGTCGATACTTCAGCGAGCAAATTAACAAGCTTTCAAGGTCTCGTTTTCGTTCATAACACAGTAAATTGCAAGAAACAAGTAAGATCAAGCAATTTTTAAGAGAGACCAAAGAGGAAAATCATAGTTTCTGCATGGAGTCATAAAAACACCTCTGGCGAAGAATACCTTCGATAGCTGCAAAGACATGACAATCAATGCGCTTTCAACTGTGCTTTGAATACAGATCGCGGATTAATGCTTATTTCAGAATTTCAGAAAACAAAAATGGAATTACAGTATTGTTTCAAAGTTACATTGCCGTCGATAAAATGACCGCAATTTAAAACCGTTAGCGAAAACAGATAATGTAAATCATCTACCGTGAATAATAACTTGATACGCTAATTGCAAAACCGCAAGCCTTTGAAATTTTGGACTTTTTTGACCCTAAATGCAACTTTTCGAGCAATGGAGGCAGGTTAGAAGCTTGGTATTTTTGGGAAGTAGCAAATCTCAGAGAGTGACTTAAAACCCCAACGCACGGATTTCAAGTTCTACGCCTTAGGTTAGCTAATTTCTGCCCCAGTCTTCGCTTTCAAAGTCAACATTTTAACCATTTTGCAATGAACCAATTTTTTAAAGGAGCAAAACTGAAGAAGATAACTATTTGAAAAACGTATAAAGGTTATCAAAGATGCGAGAAGACTTAGTGAAAGGTTTGACAAAAAGTTGGTGCAAACAAGCTGGTGTAAACCAATATTCGTCTCGTCAGACCTGAGATCAACCTAAACGAAGAAAAATCGCCAGTTGTGAATCAGCCATTCTTTGTGGATCATTTCAAGTGTAATCTGTGCGATCCAGATTATGTCGCGTTAATTTACATGACGACATCTTCGTGAACCCATCGACGAAAAAAAAAAGGATCTACGTTCGGGAGTCACATCAGAGCGCAACATGGAAAAGAACCAAGAGGCATTAAGCTAACATTCAAGATCTAATGAAAATGATAAAGTAGAAACCTGGCTGACTAATTTTCCAGACGCTTTCTTATAAAAGACATAAAGTCAACATTAAACAAACAGTCTGACTCAATCCGCGCAATTTTATTTGTTTAAGAAAGGTATTTTAATACTTCGTCATATTTTATTGGTTAGCTACCTCTTTTCTAATACATTCCTATTGTCTTATATGAGGCGTTTGTACATTTCTAATTTCTCTCGTTTTATCATGTGATGCTTAGTTTAAACATATTTCATGGCTTTTGAAATTTCCATGTTTTAAATTCACCTAAACACATGTAGACTAATTCCAATTGATTTTGTTTTTATCGCCAAATGCCTATCTAGAAAATTTCTTCTGCAAATAATATGATATTTTGTAGAGAATGATATTGTGCACCAATCATGTCCTCTACAGAATTCAGTATCAAAACGTAGCGTTCAAATTAGGAGAACACTATGACCTTAAGCTGGCCTATGCATTGTAGTTGGTACAGTTACTTTGGTAATACGTCAAAGTTGCGTTTCTTGATTTTCAGGAAGAATGCGTAACTCAATGGTTTTTCGACGCTTCCTTTTGAGCTTTTTCAAGGCAACTTTAAATATTGGCATCCTAAAGCTGTATACGAATGGATTCACCATAGAATTGGCCAAGTGAAGAACATTCGCAGACCACACCAAACGCGGTGGAAAGCATCGACGACAGAACGCTGTTATGCTGAACACTACAAAAGCTGGCAACCAAACCACAAGTGACACAGCAACTACTATAAAGAGTGTCCTTGAAAGCCGTAAGTTTTGTTCCCTCGCGTTTTGCAAGTGGACCTCAATTCCCAGTGTTTTAGAATGCAACCGATTACGGATCGTAAAGTAGCTCGCACAAATAACCAACAAAGATATCAAAAGGCTCGAATGAACAATTACATCAGACACCTTGCTCACCTCTGGGTGGTATGTCGGTAGCAAAGTCGACATCGCGGCCATGGAGAAACCAGCTGCCCAAACTAGGACGATGCTGTAAACATAAGCGCGTGTGCTTGTTACACGATGACGGAGCGGCCATAACACGGCGAAAACTCTTTCTAGCGCGATTAAGGCGAGGAAGAACACCGACGTGGTAAAGCCCAGAACTTGAAATGCTCCCGTAGGATTCGCGCCACTGTTTTCTTTTCGCTCAGCTTTTGTAATTAAATTTGGGATCTTCTCAGAGCCGAGGACCTTTGACTCTGTGACTCCGACAAGTAAATCAACAACTGCGAGGTTTATAAGAAGAAGATAGCTTTGCTTTAGATGGAATCTGTGAGTCCAAAACACAAAAATCGTTAACGTGTTTGCTATGATGATGACGAGTGTCTCGACCGTAAAGACAACCGTGAAGACAATGGCCGTTGCGCTCGGCATGATGTTTTTGCTTTTGTGCTTTAAATGCCTTTCTGAGTTCAGTTTTTAAAGATTGACGGTAAAATAAATAGACTGTCGCTACGACAGAAAAAGAGGGTTCCGGCAATTATAAGGAGGAAAAATTAATAATCATCTAGCATACTGTTCAAACAGAAGTGAAACAAAAGCAACACCCATCTCATTCTAATCCGCGTGCAAATAGATAACGCACTATAATAGTTTAATCGCCCGAAATATCGCAAGAGAATCTGGCTACAGAATTATTCATTCATGATATATGGATTTACCAAAGCCTGAAAGCGGAGCTCCCACAAAATAGTAAAAAAGAAGAAATTTTAGCAGTCCACGAAGCAGCTATCCCTTCTAACACAAATTTCGGTTTGGCAGTTTTTTAAAATGCGATTTTATTAGGACTTTGAGTCAGTTTTTCTCCGGTATTTTATCCAATGCTCTGGTATATACTAGAACAACTATTCCCATCAGTGTATGCGGCTAGTGGCCGATATAATAGACATATTATCAGCTTTAGCTTTACTAGTCCTTTAAAAACTCGAATCCAACTTCGCAACAATACTGTACTTCTGTTTTCAGAAGTCGTTAAAGCTGCATTAAATTGACGATCTCTATCCGCTCGCGAAAGCTCGATTAAATGTTAATGCGTGTGAAAAACATATATACGACTTTGTTGCCCAATCTTGATCGGAAGTCACACCAGAGCGCAACATGGAAATGAACCAAGAGACATTAAGCTAAGATTCAAGATCTAATAAAAATGATAGAGTAAACCTGGCTGACTAATTTTCCAGATGCTTTTTTATAAAAGACATAAAGCCAACATTAAACAAACAGTCTGACTCAATCCGCGCAATTTTATTTGTTTAAGGCAAGTATTTTAATATTTCGTCATATTTTATTGGTTAGCTACCTCTTTTCTAACATAATCCTATTGTCTTATATGAGGCCTTTGTACATTTCTAATTTCTCTCATTTTTATCATGTGATGCTTAGTTTAAACATATTTTATGGCTTTTGAAATTTCCATGTTTAAAATTTACCTATGTACATGTAGACTAATTCCAATAGATTTGTTTTTATCGCCAAATGCCTATCTAGAAAACTTCTTCTGCAAGCCAAATAAATGTATAAAGTATAAAACCATTTTACAAGCATAGGGCATGCAACTTGTGGCCATAAGTAACTCACCCTGTTTCTGAGCTTTTATATTAGATATAAGAACTTCTCTATGAAGAGTAATTCCTCATGAATGTCCCAGAATCTCATTTTCACCTTTTTTGTCGCAGGGAAAAATGCTGCACCCAACTTGAACCTACCACACGTTTTTTGGCATGTACTTGGAGGTTTTAACTTAAAAGTTACATGTCCAAAGTGGGTGATATTTTGTAGAGAATGATATTGTGCACAAATCATGTCCTCTACAGAATTCAGTATCAAAACGTAACCTTCAAATTAGGATGACACTGTTACCTTAAGCTGGCCTATGCATTGTAGTTGGTACAGTTACTTTGGTAATACCGTCAAAGTTGCTTTTCTTGATTATCAGGAAGGATGCGTATTTTAAGGGTTTTTCGACGCTTCCTCCGGAACTTTTTCAAGGCAACTTTAAATATTGGCATCCTAAAGCTGTATACGAATGGATTCACCATAGAATTGGCCAAGTGAAGAACATTCGCAGACCACACCAAACGCGGTGGAAAGCATCGACGACAGAACGCTGTTATGCTGAACACTACAAAAGCTGGCAACCAAACCACAAGTGACACAGCAACTACTATAAAGAGTGTCCTTGAAAGCCGTAAGTTTTGTTCCCTCGCGTTTTGCAAGTGGACCTCAATTCCCAGTGTTTTAGAATGCAACCGATTACGGATCGTAAAGTAGCTCGCACAAATAACCAACAAAGATATCAAAAGGCTCGAATGAACAATTACATCAGACACCTTGCTCACCTCTGGGTGGTATGTCGGTAGCAAAGTCGACATCGCGGCCATGGAGAAACCAGCTGCCCAAACTAGGACGATGCTGTAAACATAAGCGCGTGTGCTTGTTACACGATGACGGAGCGGCCATAACACGGCGAAAACTCTTTCTAGCGCGATTAAGGCGAGGAAGAACACCGACGTGGTAAAGCCCAGAACTTGAAATGCTCCCGTAGGATTCGCGCCACTGTTTTCTTTTCGCTCAGCTTTTGTAATTAAATTTGGGATCTTCTCAGAGCCGAGGACCTTTGACTCTGTGACTCCGACAAGTAAATCAACAACTGCGAGGTTTATAAGAAGAAGATAGCTTTGCTTTAGATGGAATCTGTGAGTCCAAAACACAAAAATCGTTAACGTGTTTGCTATGATGATGACGAGTGTCTCGACCGTAAAGACAACCGTGAAGACAATGGCCGTTGCGCTCGGCATGATGTTTTTGCTTTTGTGCTTTAAATGCCTTTCTGAGTTCAGTTTTTAAAGATTGACGGTAAAATAAATAGACTGTCGCTACGACAGAAAAAGAGGGTTCCGGCAATTATAAGGAGGAAAAATTAATAATCATCTAGCATACTGTTCAAACAGAAGTGAAACAAAAGCAACACCCATCTCATTCTAATCCGCGTGCAAATAGATAACGCACTATAATAGTTTAATCGCCCGAAATATCGCAAGAGAATCTGGCTACAGAATTATTCATTCATGATATATGGATTTACCAAAGCCTGAAAGCGGAGCTCCCACAAAATAGTAAAAAAGAAGAAATTTTAGCAGTCCACGAAGCAGCTATCCCTTCTAACACAAATTTCGGTTTGGCAGTTTTTTAAAATGCGATTTTATTAGGACTTTGAGTCAGTTTTTCTCCGGTATTTTATCCAATGCTCTGGTATATACTAGAACAACTATTCCCATCAGTGTATGCGGCTAGTGGCCGATATAATAGACATATTATCAGCTTTAGCTTTACTAGTCCTTTAAAAACTCGAATCCAACTTCGCAACAATACTGTACTTCTGTTTTCAGAAGTCGTTAAAGCTGCATTAAATTGACGATCTCTATCCGCTCGCGAAAGCTCGATTAAATGTTAATGCGTGTGAAAAACATATATACGACTTTGTTGCCCAATCTTGATCGGAAGTCACACCAGAGCGCAACATGGAAATGAACCAAGAGACATTAAGCTAAGATTCAAGATCTAATAAAAATGATAGAGTAAACCTGGCTGACTAATTTTCCAGATGCTTTTTTATAAAAGACATAAAGCCAACATTAAACAAACAGTCTGACTCAATCCGCGCAATTTTATTTGTTTAAGGCAAGTATTTTAATATTTCGTCATATTTTATTGGTTAGCTACCTCTTTTCTAACATAATCCTATTGTCTTATATGAGGCCTTTGTACATTTCTAATTTCTCTCATTTTTATCATGTGATGCTTAGTTTAAACATATTTTATGGCTTTTGAAATTTCCATGTTTAAAATTTACCTATGTACATGTAGACTAATTCCAATAGATTTGTTTTTATCGCCAAATGCCTATCTAGAAAACTTCTTCTGCAAGCCAAATAAATGTATAAAGTATAAAACCATTTTACAAGCATAGGGCATGCAACTTGTGGCCATAAGTAACTCACCCTGTTTCTGAGCTTTTATATTAGATATAAGAACTTCTCTATGAAGAGTAATTCCTCATGAATGTCCCAGAATCTCATTTTCACCTTTTTTGTCGCAGGGAAAAATGCTGCACCCAACTTGAACCTACCACACGTTTTTTGGCATGTACTTGGAGGTTTTAACTTAAAAGTTACATGTCCAAAGTGGGTGATATTTTGTAGAGAATGATATTGTGCACAAATCATGTCCTCTACAGAATTCAGTATCAAAACGTAACCTTCAAATTAGGATGACACTGTTACCTTAAGCTGGCCTATGCATTGTAGTTGGTACAGTTACTTTGGTAATACCGTCAAAGTTGCTTTTCTTGATTATCAGGAAGGATGCGTATTTTAAGGGTTTTTCGACGCTTCCTCCGGAACTTTTTCAAGGCAACTTTAAATATTGGCATCCTAAAGCTGTATACGAATGGATTCACCATAGAATTGGCCAAGTGAAGAACATTCGCAGACCACACCAAACGCGGTGGAAAGCATCGACGACAGAACGCTGTTATGCTGAACACTACAAAAGCTGGCAACCAAACCACAAGTGACACAGCAACTACTATAAAGAGTGTCCTTGAAAGCCGTAAGTTTTGTTCCCTCGCGTTTTGCAAGTGGACCTCAATTCCCAGTGTTTTAGAATGCAACCGATTACGGATCGTAAAGTAGCTCGCACAAATAACCAACAAAGATATCAAAAGGCTCGAATGAACAATTACATCAGACACCTTGCTCACCTCTGGGTGGTATGTCGGTAGCAAAGTCGACATCGCGGCCATGGAGAAACCAGCTGCCCAAACTAGGACGATGCTGTAAACATAAGCGCGTGTGCTTGTTACACGATGACGGAGCGGCCATAACACGGCGAAAACTCTTTCTAGCGCGATTAAGGCGAGGAAGAACACCGACGTGGTAAAGCCCAGAACTTGAAATGCTCCCGTAGGATTCGCGCCACTGTTTTCTTTTCGCTCAGCTTTTGTAATTAAATTTGGGATCTTCTCAGAGCCGAGGACCTTTGACTCTGTGACTCCGACAAGTAAATCAACAACTGCGAGGTTTATAAGAAGAAGATAGCTTTGCTTTAGATGGAATCTGTGAGTCCAAAACACAAAAATCGTTAACGTGTTTGCTATGATGATGACGAGTGTCTCGACCGTAAAGACAACCGTGAAGACAATGGCCGTTGCGCTCGGCATGATGTTTTTGCTTTTGTGCTTTAAATGCCTTTCTGAGTTCAGTTTTTAAAGATTGACGGTAAAATAAATAGACTGTCGCTACGACAGAAAAAGAGGGTTCCGGCAATTATAAGGAGGAAAAATTAATAATCATCTAGCATACTGTTCAAACAGAAGTGAAACAAAAGCAACACCCATCTCATTCTAATCCGCGTGCAAATAGATAACGCACTATAATAGTTTAATCGCCCGAAATATCGCAAGAGAATCTGGCTACAGAATTATTCATTCATGATATATGGATTTACCAAAGCCTGAAAGCGGAGCTCCCACAAAATAGTAAAAAAGAAGAAATTTTAGCAGTCCACGAAGCAGCTATCCCTTCTAACACAAATTTCGGTTTGGCAGTTTTTTAAAATGCGATTTTATTAGGACTTTGAGTCAGTTTTTCTCCGGTATTTTATCCAATGCTCTGGTATATACTAGAACAACTATTCCCATCAGTGTATGCGGCTAGTGGCCGATATAATAGACATATTATCAGCTTTAGCTTTACTAGTCCTTTAAAAACTCGAATCCAACTTCGCAACAATACTGTACTTCTGTTTTCAGAAGTCGTTAAAGCTGCATTAAATTGACGATCTCTATCCGCTCGCGAAAGCTCGATTAAATGTTAATGCGTGTGAAAAACATATATACGACTTTGTTGCCCAATCTTGATCGGAAGTCACACCAGAGCGCAACATGGAAATGAACCAAGAGACATTAAGCTAAGATTCAAGATCTAATAAAAATGATAGAGTAAACCTGGCTGACTAATTTTCCAGATGCTTTTTTATAAAAGACATAAAGCCAACATTAAACAAACAGTCTGACTCAATCCGCGCAATTTTATTTGTTTAAGGCAAGTATTTTAATATTTCGTCATATTTTATTGGTTAGCTACCTCTTTTCTAACATAATCCTATTGTCTTATATGAGGCCTTTGTACATTTCTAATTTCTCTCATTTTTATCATGTGATGCTTAGTTTAAACATATTTTATGGCTTTTGAAATTTCCATGTTTAAAATTTACCTATGTACATGTAGACTAATTCCAATAGATTTGTTTTTATCGCCAAATGCCTATCTAGAAAACTTCTTCTGCAAGCCAAATAAATGTATAAAGTATAAAACCATTTTACAAGCATAGGGCATGCAACTTGTGGCCATAAGTAACTCACCCTGTTTCTGAGCTTTTATATTAGATATAAGAACTTCTCTATGAAGAGTAATTCCTCATGAATGTCCCAGAATCTCATTTTCACCTTTTTTGTCGCAGGGAAAAATGCTGCACCCAACTTGAACCTACCACACGTTTTTTGGCATGTACTTGGAGGTTTTAACTTAAAAGTTACATGTCCAAAGTGGGTGATATTTTGTAGAGAATGATATTGTGCACAAATCATGTCCTCTACAGAATTCAGTATCAAAACGTAACCTTCAAATTAGGATGACACTGTTACCTTAAGCTGGCCTATGCATTGTAGTTGGTACAGTTACTTTGGTAATACCGTCAAAGTTGCTTTTCTTGATTATCAGGAAGGATGCGTATTTTAAGGGTTTTTCGACGCTTCCTCCGGAACTTTTTCAAGGCAACTTTAAATATTGGCATCCTAAAGCTGTATACGAATGGATTCACCATAGAATTGGCCAAGTGAAGAACATTCGCAGACCACACCAAACGCGGTGGAAAGCATCGACGACAGAACGCTGTTATGCTGAACACTACAAAAGCTGGCAACCAAACCACAAGTGACACAGCAACTACTATAAAGAGTGTCCTTGAAAGCCGAAAGTTTTGTTCCCTCGCGTTTTGCAAGTGGACCTCAATTCCCAGTATTTTAGAATGCAACCGATTACGGATCGTAAAGTAGCTCGCACAAATAACCAACAAAGATATCAAAAGGCTCGAATGGACAGTGACAGCAGACACCTTACTCGCCTCTGGGTGGTATATCGGTAGCAAGATCGATATCGCCGCCAGGGAGAAACCAGCTGCCCAAACTAGGACGATGCTGTAAACATAAGCGCGTGTGCTTGTTACACGATGACGGAGCGGCCATAACACGGCGAAAACTCTTTCTAGCGCGATTAAGGCGAGGAAGAACACCGACGTGGTAAAGCCGAGGACTTGAAATGCTCCCGTAGGATTCGCGCCACTGATTTCTTTTCGCTCAGCTTTTGTAATTAAATTGGGAATCTTCTCAGAACCGAGGACCTTTGACTCTGTGACTCCGACAAGTAAATCAACAATCGCGAGGTTTAAAAGAAAAAGATAGCTTTGCTTTAGATGGAATCTGTGAGTCCAAAAAACAAATATCGTTAAGGTGTTTCCTATGATGATGACGAATGCCTCGACCGTAAAAACAGCCGTGAAGACAATGGCAGTTGCGCTCGGCATGCTGTTTCTGCTTTTGTGTTTTAAATGCCTTTCTGAGTTCAGTTTTTAAAGATTGACAGTAAATAAACAGATTGCTGCTACGAGAGAAAAAGAGGGTTCCGGCAATTATAAGGAGGAAAAATTAATAATCATCTAGCATACTGTTCAAACAGAAGTGAAACAAAAGCAACACCCATCTCATTCTAATCCGCGTGCAAATAGATAACGCACTATAATAGTTTAATCGCCCGAAATATCGCAAGAGAATCTGGCTACAGAATTATTCATTCATGATCGATATATAGATTTACCAAAGCCTAAAAGCGGAGCTCCCATGAAATACTTATCGTTTACTCGACACAATAAATAGATTTAACGAAATTGGTCACAAAGCATTTCAACAAGCCGAATGAATTGAACAAACAAGTCCAACTACAAAAAAAATCTCTAACACCACAATATGCAAACCACTTATTCGAGTGTCTAATAGCAAATCCTAGTAGCTGTTAAAGCATGAAATTCTAAACGTAAGAAACTTCATTTAAGATTGATTCGTCATTTAATAGAAAGCCAAGAAATGCATTTAGAAGTACAAAATTTCAAAGACGTGCGGTTTTGTATTCAGCGTGATCGGTTAAGCTTTTTTTTTTTTTTTTTGATATATAGTATAGATCAGTAAGATTATGCTCTCTTTACCCACATTCTCGAGATATTTAGCGAATTGGTTCTTGGTTTCCAACCTTAAAAAAGAAGAAATTTTAGCAGTGCACAAAGCAGCTATCCCCTCTAACACAAAGAAAACTTCAAATTTCGGTTTGGCAGTTTTTTTAAAAGCGGTTTTATTAGGACTTTGAGTCAATTTTTCTCCAGTATTTTATCCAATGCTCTGGAATATACTAAAACAACTATTCCCCTCATGATCAGTGTCTGCGGCTAGTGGCCGATATAATAGACATATTATCGGCTTTAGCTTTACCAGTCCTTTAAAAACTCGAATCCAACTTCGGAACAATGCTGTACTTCTGTTTTCTGAAGTCGCTAAAGCTGAATTAAATCGACGATCTGTGTCCGCTCGCGAAAACTCGACTAAAAGTTAATTCGCGTGAAAAATATATATACGACTTTGTTGCTCAATCTTGTAGTAAGGTGTATACAATGCGAAAACAATTTAGTTAGAGATTCTGACGGTCTGAATGGCTGACAGTCGAACAAAGTCATCATACACTGTTCACGCTTCGCTTTTACTTAGTACAGATGATAAAAGAAATGAGCTGACAAGAAGAGGACAAGTTGACAGAGTAGTTTTCTTATGGCTATATCAAAACGTTCTTCTACTTTCATGATCAGTCAGCTGAACCGGCGTGAACCAAGTAACAAGACAAAAAATGAATATCATTACTAGCTGTATGGCTTTAAGAAAAAATCCACCCATCCACCTGCAAGACGTTAAAAACACCTTTACAATTTAATACCGCAAGGTTTGCCTTGTCGTTATTTCTTTAAAGGAAGATATCCTATGTTAAAAGTGATATATCCATAAAAGGGATAACTACACACAAAGAGATCAGTTATCAAACAAACTGTTCAAACAGAAGTGAGATAATAAAAAGATACAACTTTCTGGACTTTGTGTTTTGTGCAAAAAGAATTTGCCTTTGAGCTAGGTTAGATATTAGTTAGCAAAATATTAAAAACAATCACTGAGACTGAAGTATTTCTTATCAAGCTCCAGATTCTTTTCTTTTCTTTTTTTTTCTTTTTTGTTTGTGCAACGTATGCCAGAAATTATCTGTGAGGCTGAGTACACTAATCAGCGATTCGTTTTCACTTGTAACACAGATGACAGGTTATAAAACAAATCCTTTGAGATATTTACATTAGTTATAAAATAATGTCAAATGCTTCGCTGGGATCGTTATATCAATATAATATATAGAAATGAGAAAAAGATGTAAGACTCTTCCAGGAAATAAAAAACACAAACACCAAACGACGACAGTTTTCTGTCCAATTCTATATGAAACCGTTTTAATAGTCTTTTGGCTGCTACAACGAAGCCTTCCACGAAAACCAACTCTCAATATCGCAAAGAAGGGAAATCAACCACTACCGAGAAAAGACATTCCCACACGTTTAGTAAGCCGAAAAAAGCTCGTTACGCGGGTTTAAAAAGAAAACTCCTGCCTGTACCAAATGGTCCATCCATAAAGGAAGTAACGTCGGACAGAAAATTCGCCTTTTAAATGCGCTAATGAACGTAACTAACGTTAAGTTAACTAACGTTAACAAAATTCCTGGAATCCTAGAAACTAATGCATTACTGTATTATTTTGGCGGCTAATTGGAAAACAGTAAATTCTCGAATGGGCGGAGTCCGCTACTGACGGAGCCCATTCGAAAGGCTTCGTTGTAACACCCAAAAAATATCAACCAAGCAGGATTAAAACGGCCTCATAGAATTCGACAGAAAAACCGTCGTCGCCGACCTTATTTTTTTTCTGGAAGAGTCTCACACCTTTTTTAATTTCTATATATTATATTGATGTAACGCTCCTAGTAGTTCTTCCGACATTATTTGATAAATAATGTAAATATCTCAATGGATTGATTCTATCACCTGTTAACTGTGTTGTAAATGGAAACCATTCTCTGATTGGTGCACGCAGTCTGACAGATGATTTTGGGCATACGTTGCTTAAAAAAGGGGGTGGGGGGAGGGGAAGATTTTGGAGTTTGATAAGAAAAGCTTCAGTCATCGCCGGATTGTCTTTAATATTTCGCTGACTTAAATAGCTAAGCTAGCTCACTGGTGAATTTTTTTTTTTCCTTTCTGGTGCAAAATACGGAGTGACAAAGTTGTATCCTTTTTTATCCCACTTCTGTTTGAACAGTTTGTTTGATAAATGATCTCTTTGTTCGTAGTCATCCTTCTATGGATATCTCTTCCATAAAAAAAAAAGCAACAACAAACAACAACGGCAAAGTAAACCCTCTGGTATTGAATTGTAAACGTATTTTTACCGTCTTGCAGGTGGATAGTTAAATATTTTTTTTCTTAAAGTCCAACAGTTAGTAATGATATTCATCTTTTGTTCATATTCTTGTTGCTTGGTTCACGCCGGATCAGCCAGCTGAAATTAGAAGAACGTTTTGATATATCCATTAGGAAAACTATCCTGCCAAGTTATCCTTTTCTTGTCAGTTCATTCCTTTTATCACCTGTGCTAAGCAAAAGCGAAACGTAAACAGTGTATGATGACTTTGTTCGACCTTTCAGCAATTCAAACTGTCAGAGTCTCTAACCAAATCTCTTTTCGTTTTGTGTACACCTTACTGGAAGATTTAAAAACAAAGTCGTACATTTTTTTTTTTTCCATCCGAATTAACGCGGGGCACCGGCGCGCGACCACAGATGCAGCTTTAAGGAATTCAGAAAACAAAATAGTGATGTGCAGTGCTGTTAGATTCGATTTTTTTAAATTACTGGTAAAGCTAAGGCAGATAAAATGACTTCTTTTGTTGAGAGATTTATGCTTAAAAAGTAAACAGAATTTCCTCTTAGACACTCACAGGAGTGATTTGCATATTGTGTTTTTGGGAAATTTTTCGTTTTGTTTGGACTTGGTTGTTCAACTCATTTGGTCTTGTGAGATGCTTTTTGACGGATTTCCGTAAAGTTAGTTACTGTGTCGAGTTAATGATAAGTATTTCATGGGAGCACCGCTTTTAGGCTTTGCTAAATCTATATAAATCATGAATGAATAGTAAACCAATTTCGATATATTAAAATTCAGCCTAAAGCAATAGACTTCAGCGCGAGGCTCTGGGAAATAACAACAGAGTTTGTGGGGTTTATTCCCCACAGACTCGTGCTAAGATTTACTGTTTTGGGCTGAATTTTAATATTTCGAAATTGGTTTATTTTTTAGCCTCATTCACTCGCGATGTTTCTGGTGATTTAACTATCTGGTCTAATATAGTGCGAAATTTATTTGCACGTGGATTAGAATGCGATAAGTGTGGCTTTTGTTTCACTTTTGTTTGAACGGTATGCTAGATGATGATTAATGTTTCCCCTTATAATTGCCGGAAACCTCTTTTTCTGTCGTAGCAGCAATCTGTTTATTTAGGGTGTACTGTCAATCTTTAAAAACTGAACTCACAAAAGTATTAAAAGCATAAAACCAGAAACAACATGCCGAGCGCAACGGCCATTGTCTTCACGGCTGTCTTTACGGTCGAGACACTCGTCATCATCATAGGAAACACGTTAACGATTTTTGTTTTTTGGACTCACAGATTCCATCTAAAGGGAACTTATTTTCTTCTCATTAACCTCGCAGTTGCTGATTTACTTGTCGGAGTCACAGAGTCGAAGGTCCTCGGCTCTGAGAAGATTCCCAATTTAATTACAGAAGCTGAACGAAAAAGAAGCCGTGATGTGAATCCTACGAGAGCATTTCAAGTCCTAGGCTTTACCTCGTCGGTGTTCTTCCTCGCCTTAATCTCGCTTGAAAGAGTTTTCGCTGTGTTATGGCCACTCCGTCATCGGGTAACAAGCACACGCGCTTATGTTTGCAGCATTTTCATGGCTTGGGCAGCTGGTTTCTCCATGGCCGCGATATCGACTTTGCTACCGACATACCACCCAGAGGTGAGCAAGGTGTCTGCTGTCACTGTCCATTCGTGTCTTTCCATATCTTTGCTGGTTATCTGTGCAAGCTACTTTACAATCTGTAATCATTTGCGTACTAAAACACAAGGAATTCAGGTCCACTTCCAAAACGCGAGGGAACAAACCTTACGGCTTTCAAGGACACTCTTCATAGTAGTTGCTGTGTCACTTGTGGTTTGGCTGCCAGCTTTTGTAATTTTCAGCATAACAGCGTTCTGTCGTCGATGTTTTCCACCGCATTTGGTGTTGTATGCGAATGTTCTGCACTTGGCAAATTCTATGGTGAATCCATTCGTTTACAGCTTTAGGATGCCAACATTTAAAGTTGCCTTGAAGAAGCTCTGGAGGAAGCGTCAAAAAACAGTCAAGTTACGAACCGTTCCTGAAAATCAAGAACGCAACTTTGACGGTATTACCAAAGCAACTATTGCTAACTACAATGTGTAAGCCAGCTTAAAGTAAGCGTTTTCTTTGTATTTCACGGTTACTGTTTCATACAGGATTCTGTAGAGGACAGAATTCGTGGACGATGTCTTCTTTGTGGACGATATCTTCAAAATATGGACCAATTTTGGACACGTAACCTAACCGCCAAGTACATGCTAAAAAAGACATTTGGTTCATGTTGAGCGCAATTTTTTTTTCCTACGACAAAACATTGAAATTGATGCCTGAGGGATAGTAAGGCAGTACTCCCCATTGAAAAGTTGAATATGATCTAAGATCTACTATAAAGGCTTAGAAATAGGTTGAGTTACTTGGCCACAAGTTGCATGCCCTATGCTTGTAGAATGTTTTACAATTTTTTTACGTTTATTTGCATACTGAAGAAGTTCCCTTAATAGACATTTGACGTTAAAAACCAACGAGATTACTTTTAAGTGAAAGGAAAGCAACTGGAATTAGCATACATGTATATAGGTAAATTTAAAACATGGGAAATTCAAAAGGGATAAAATATGTTTAAACTAAGCATGACAGGATAAAAACAACAGAAATTAAAAATATACGAAGGTCTCATATAAGACTATAGAAATATGTTAAAAAAGAGGTAGCTAACGAATAAACTGGAATTAAATATTAAAATACCCTGCCTTAAACAAATAAATTTGGGAGGATTCAGTCAAACTGTTTGTTTAATGTTGGCTTTATGTCTTTTGCAAATGATCTCGAAAATTAGTCAGCCAGATTTACTCTAGCATTTCTGCCAGGTGTTGAATATCTCATGATATCTCTTGGTTGTTATTTTGTTCTCTGATGTTACTCCCGGTCGTAGATCCTTTGTGTTCGTCAATGCGTCGAAGAGGGTGTCGTCATATGAAGCCAGCATAATCTGCATATAGCACACATTGCATTGAAGATGATCAGCAACGCATTGCTGATTCACAAGGGGCGGCTTTTCTTCTTTTTGTTTGATCTCAGATCTGATTTTGCGACGATACAAATATCCTTTTTTGCCACTTAGTCGTCCAAGTTATCTTCGCAGTGAATTGGTTGATGTCCGGTCTTTAAATGATTGTATAATCTCGCATAGGTACATTGTTCTCCTCACAGGTTTGTTTGGATCTTGGGCTTTTCGAAACCGTGATAGCAACAGAAACAGTATTATGAGTATCAACAGGCTTTACGTCAGTTGCTCAGAAACTACCCCAAAGTTCGTTTACAGCAAATTCTTCTTAATCCTTGCACTAAATCTTTTCACAACTCTCAAGACCCTTGTACGTTTTTCAAATGGTCATTTTATTCATTTTAATTACTGCTCAAAAAGCTGCATTTAGGAGCAGACAAAATTCAAAATTTCAGACTTGCGGTTCTGCATTCAGCGTGTTTAAGTCATTATTCAAGCTAAAGCTGGGTTTATTTCTTATTTTCGCCAATGGCTATACAGTCATTTTATCGACGATAATGCAGCTTCAAAACAGTACTGAAAATTACCATTTTGTTTTCTGAAATCCTGCAATAAGCACTTAATCCTCGATCTGTATTCGAAACACAGCTGAAAGCACATTGATCGTAGTGTTTTTGAGGCCATCGAAGGAGATAGAAATTATCCAGGTATATTTCTGGAGGTAACGTCAGGATCCGCTTTTGGTTGCGCTCTGCATCTTCTGATCTTCAGGTCTGCAACGGAAACATAATTAAACAGAACTTACGACTTTCAACGACATTGTTTACTGTAGTTGCTGTCCCACTGGTGTTTTGGCTGCCAGGTTTTGTAGCGAACGTCTTAAGAGAGCTCTGCTCGGGGTGTTTCTCAACAAGTGGCATCGACAGTGGATGTTCTGCGCTTCGCAAATTCTATGGTAAATCCATTCCTTTACAGCTTAATAATGCCAATATTTAAAAACGCTTTTGAACAGGTCGTCTCAATAAGTATGAGATTTAGATGGTGCTACAAGAATGTTTCCTAGATTCAATGCTTTCGTTTTCCAGGCAAGTTAGGTCATATTCATTATTTTGTTTTATCCTAGCTGCAAAACATTCGAATAGGACTAAGTTTCAAATTTCCGAAAGTGCACCTGGATAAAGGTGCATTAAGGGCCAAAAGTTAGTCTACTCTTGTCATTTATTATTTTTTTTTTTTGTTTCGTTCTTTTTGTTGTTGTTGTTCAATGAATGTATTACACTATATCTCCTGATACTCAAAGATCACCTTTTTCTTTTCTTATAAAGTGCCCATAGGGCGTCATTCTGAGCGAGTTTTAAAAAATTCGCTATTTCCAAGTCTATTGTTGATATTAAGGCGAAGCTGCTCTTAAATTCTTTGTGACAGCGATATGCAAACGGCACAAATAACTTCTTTCTTTTAAATAAAGTCCTACTATGATGAAATTCGCATGTTTCCTGTCTAAGCCATTTTGAAACATAAACAAGTAGTCTGTGCGTATAGAAAAATGCTGCTTACTATGTACATCTTTTAGTTACAGAGATATTCTTCAATAACTGAGGTTGTACTTCCCACTTGACGACCGATAAACAGCAGAAAGATCAATCAATACATAAAGAAGAACAAGAAGAAGAAATCAATAATGAGTTGATCAATAAAAACATTCCACACTTGGTATGGCAAAGTTTTCAATCAGGAGAATTTAAATGTTTACTGTGTGGCTTGAAGTTCTGAACTGACCTCTATTCCTATTGAAATTTTGAAATCTGCTGGATCAATTGCAACTGTCTTTATTAATTAAATGCAAACAAATTAGTTTTTGATTAAACGCGTTTGCCTCCTTATCACATGGTCTCAGGTAAAGCTGTAACTTTGAGGTTATTTGGTGACGCGAATGCAACAGTAAATCGTGCAAACGAATATCATTTCTCCTTCAAAGTTAACGTTTAGTGTCCAGAGAAAAAAAGACAAAATTTCAGGCAAAGTTACAGCGGTTTGCACAATTTTCCCAATTTATAAGTGTGTGGTAAATTCCTGTGGTTCGTTTCGTACTTGGAGAGCAAGAGGTCTTAACTCAACGTTTTCTCCCGGTTTCTTCCAAAGTTTTTTCAACGCATGTTTAAAAATTGGCATCCTGAAGCTGTATACAAATGGATTCACCATAGAATTAGCTAAATATAAAACAATTAATAACCACAGCAGAATTGGAGAAAAACATTTCCAACAGAATATTTTGATCGCGTACACAACGAAAGCAGGCAGCCATAAGATAAGACTGACGACCTCAGCACGGCGTGAACGCGTTCCAAGGAAACAAGAGCGAGTAACATTACTGACGTACACGACCCAAACGATTTTTGATTTTGGAGATCAACAATAACTGATGTGTTTGTTTCAGCAAAATTCAAGTTTTATAGTCTTCAAATATACAGACACGTTAATGATACAATAAAAATGTTCTTGCTTGAACCCAGCAGAATTTGCCAAAAGTGAAGAATATTCCTTTTATCAATCCAATTTGCATAAAACAAGAGGCCGAACGGAAGTATAACAGAATGGAATATTGTATATCGATGGTGCGAAATTGAGTTTCAGATGTAAATTATAGTATACGTTCAAATTATTTAATTGGCAGACCCGAGAGGATCGTGACGACAATTGCAAAATAGCAATTGAATTCACAGAGCACAATAATAATTTTTTGAGGTAAAGTGTCTGAAAAAATATCTTTTTAATAACAGCAACAGCATTTTTAGATCCTAAAGTAAACCGGTGATAAAATCAATGCATTTACTCGAAATTAATGTCATATCATTTCCTACTAGGGGCGGAGTAGTCAAGATGGCCCTTACGGGCCACCGTAGAGTAGTGCATTTCAGATCAGCTTGTTCACTTAGAAACGAACTTGAGCTGTGTGGATTGGGCAAGAAGAGATCTTTTCACAAAATGTAACACCAGCAATTTCTTTCTCTTTAAATTTTCTTGATGAAAATTCAAGACCTCGTTTATACCAAAGTTGTCGATTGGTTCAACACAAAATTCAATTTCACTTTCTCGCCAAAGTCTCATGAGATATTGTCTGGAATAGCAATAAATATTTCTGAAAACAGCGTTGTGAAATTTACTTACTGTTTATTATTTGCAAAATATCACTTATACTATCAGAAAATGTACTCTAAGCGTTGCAACATAGACGAGTTTTTCAACAAAGATGTTAAATTTTTATCAGGGCGTTTCTCCTCTTCAGTTTGTTTACAAACGGAAAGCAATATTAGTTGATATCTACAACGTTTTAGTCAAAAAGAAAGCGAGCTTTTGAGCATGTCAGTAGATCATCTAAGGTGTCACAAAATTGAAGACCAAAACAGTAGGGACAAGGACATTTTTCTCAATTCTAGTTGTCGTCGTGTTTTTTCTTAACATCACACAGAGAACTAAATTGTGATCACTGCGATTGATGCAAGATATTTAACTGAATACTGAGAAATCGCCGAAATTTAACAATAACTTCTAGCACTCTTCTCCAGACCCTCAGAAAGGTGAAGGAAAACACATGGCTTGTGCAAAATGTTATGAGCCTCCCACTTGACGACGAATAAACGACAAATATCTCAATAAATAAGAAAAAAACATATTACACGTGGCATAGCAAGGTTTTCAATTTTTTTTTTCGGGATGTCGCCTGGCCGTAGCTAGTAACAAGCAAACCGAGGCGCTTGCCTCAGTAATCTTCGTTTTTTGCTAGTTATAGTCATCATAAAAACCCTACATACCCAGAGAGAGATTTCAGCCAAGGAGATTGCCTTAGTTATATTTATTTCTGGATAGGGACCTGAGACCTATATATCTTTTGAAATTGTTTTTCATGTCAAATAATCGTAATCGCTTGAATTAACTCAGTAACTGCCCCAATTCAACTTACACACATCAGTAAAGATTGACATTTAGGCGTCTTTACTTCTTGTTCATAGGCGATGTTTTACATGTATTTCTAAAGTTTCGGTAAAGGTGACGAGAACTCAATGAACTGTAAACAGTGCAAACGCACATCACCTTTTCTGCCTAAATGTAGGTTTATTCCAGCAAAAAAAAAGGGCAAAATGAAAAGCAAAGTTCCTGAACAGAGGTTTGCCTATTTTGTGGTTGTTTTTCAATTTACAAGTGCCTGGTAAACTCCTGTGGTTCGTCTCGCACTTGGAGAGCTCGCACTCGAAGAGAAACAGGTCTTAATTCAACTTTTTCTACCTGTTTCTTCCAACGTTTTTTCAGAGCATTTTTAAAAATTTGCATTCTAAAGCTATATACAAATGGATTCACCATAGAAATGGCTAAATATAGGACATTAACTACCCACAGCGAAAGCTGAGAAAAACATTTCCAACAGAATATTTTGATTGTATACACAACGAAAGCAGGCAGCCATAAGATNATATTATTTCATTTCTTTATTTATTTGCTTCATTTGTGATGGCAATCTTCTGTTGTTAAGGGAAGTATAGCTTACACTTCTTGTTGACGCTACGCCTAGAGATTTCGAACTCACACGCTGTTGAAGAGACTCGAGGAGTCGGGTTGAGTATTGAAAGATCGAGCGAGGTTCGACTAGAAAAATAAATCAAAATACATGCGAAGAAGAGCCGAGCGATAAGAAAAATACAGGAAAGAATATAAAAGCTTACAAATGTTTCCTGACTGTAGCGATGACGGTGAAGCTAGGTAGAGTATAGATTCCGCAACAATATTAACTTGAAACTATAGAAAACGTTCAAAAGATTGGCGCGCTAGGAAACCGTAGCATTTAAGTACGGTCCTAATTTGCATACATAAATGGCAAGCTAAAATAAAAATTCGCACGTGGAACCCTACAGGAAGACCCGAGCCAATTCTGGAATCGATGGAAACATCTGTGGAGCGGCCATTCAGATGGCTTTGAAGAGATTTCACTTGTCTCAGCGTGTCGATCGATAAGTACTTATAGCGGATCGANCCTGCACCCTGCACCCTGCAAAAAAGACCTGCCGCATTTTGAACGCCTGGACGACTCAAATGCTCTTGAAATTCAATCTTCAAGTTGGCCATAGTACTAATTCGAACATTCAAAGTCAACTCCACTTCAATTGAGCGAAACACCTAATATTAATGGTCGTGTAAAAGCTACAAAATCATCAATATTCGGGCTGGCACGATGCACGCATTGAGTAGTAGGCTCGCACTGACTGCACGGTGACTATTCCAATATGGCGTCGGGCTCGGTTACTATTCCAATGTGGCGTCGGGCGCGGTTACTATTCCAAAATGGCGTCAGACTCGGGCGCTCTCGTTCGGGCCGACTAATTACGAGGAGTGTCTACACCTTAGTGAGTGAGTGAGTGAGTGAGTGACACATTTGCATAAAAAAAAAACAAAAACAAAAAACAAAAAAAACAACAAAAAAAACAACAACAAAAGCGGATCAAAAGTCGTCCTTTTATCCCTCTATCGATGATATATTGTACCAAAAATATCTAAAGGAGAGACCATGCCATTGCGATAATGTCGCTTTATCTGGAACTACAAAAACAAACAAACAAAAAGTGCGTATATCGCATTTTAAAAGTACATCCGATCAGCAGTTTTGCTCCTCGCATTTCCGGTCTACATACGTTGGGTCGTAAACAACGATTTCTTCGCTTTTCAACCATGCACCACGGAATGTACGGCTCAGTTTAGTCAAAGACTTAATTCAGAATCGTCGCAGACATGCATTTGCTTAGCTGTGATTTTGATGCATCTATTCAACTTCCTGGATGGATTGTATTGATGAATTATTTCGATAGTCGACACACGACTGTGTTTGGCCTGTTCGACTGTTCTTTATTCGGGTTAATGCATCATCATCATCTGTGGTCTAAAAGTACATGTTAGGTGAGGTTAGCCAGTTAGATTTGACCTTTCCGCTAGAGTCTGTGCAAGATTTGGTCAAGAAAATCGAGCGAGCGAACTGAGGAGAGTACTACACGACAAAAGCATCCTGAAGAAATTTCACGAAATTCGTTGGCCAAAACCTAACCAATCAAATGTAGATAACAGATAAGATGATAGAAAATACTTCTGAAGCTGATATTGTCTATCTAAAGCCTGATTGAGCCAAATACTAGAGTCCTCAACATTTCCAAATTCGCAATTTTTTGCAACTTGCCTCGGATGTCTTCAACACCCACGGCCAGAATATAATTTTCGCCAAATAGATTTTATAATATTTAAAAACTTCAATATCTATGTAAGCTCTGCTGCTCATTTGGTTTTTTGAGAAAGAGTACTTTCGGAGAAATTACGAATATGGTTGTACTTGTTTTTCCTGCTTGTCAAAATGACTGACAGGCAATATAGTAGGACGAACATTGTCTTCTTGGTTATAAAACCCAAAATACTTTAACGGCAAATTTTATAAACTGGGAAAGTGGCTCTACCATCTGTATGAATTTCATTTGAATTGGTTCACATGCACCCGAGAACCAGACTCGTTTATTTTTACTTCTTGAGAGTGAATTTTTTGGTCAAAACATAGACCTCATGCCGACGGGATCAAGTGCGGTTACCATGGCAACGACACACCTGCCGATCCAAATATGGCTAATTTTGTTCACCCCCCAGGTAACCTATCTCCACACAAAAAATGAAGGGGGGTTAAAAATTATCAGTTCCAACTTTGCCTCACTTTCGGGAGAATTGCTCTTAAAATGATTGGCTCATATAACTGTGATTGGCTCAGTGTCAAAGTGACTAGAAAGAATTGAGCCTTAACCCAGAAATATCTTTCTGTTTTTTTCTTTTCGTCTTGATTATCTGGAACACCTCTCACTGTTGTTGTTTATTGATTATACACTGTATGTCTTCGGAAGATTTGATTCAGTAATTTCGTACAAAAATTAATAAGCTTAAATGAAATTATTGCAGTATAATCATTTGTTTTATCTTTCCATACTTAGTATATTTCCTGATGATAACACAGAGTGTCATCTTTTTTATCAACTCTTTTACAATGAAATACAAGAAAAAATAAAATAAAACTTAATAGAAATAAAAAGCCATCTGTGAGAGAGTATACATTAGATTGTCATTCCTCTTTAAGCACTGTCCACATGTAGAAATTACCCCTGCTAACATGGGGGCTAGACAGGTGCAGGACCATACTAATAACAGGCTTTTTATGTATAAGGGAGCCTCAGCTTTTAGGCATAATACAGTAATTGTCGGGTCCTCAGCTTCTTCAAGGACCCTAGCCAGCCTCTGCTATTTTCGATGCCATCAAAATTATCGATATTGCATGGTGAGATGAAGTCTTGTCGCTTTACTGTAAGTTGTGTTCCTTAAAGTATGTCCCTTTATCTTTAGTAGCTTGAAAGTGATTTTCTTTGCTTTGACATACTCCATATTAAACATAAAAGCCAACCTCTTGTATGTAAACAAAAACAAAGGTGTGGCTGACTAGAGCCCTTTAGGGGGGGGGGGTTAGATGGCTCCAAAGCACACCTATTAAGGTTACCTCTGCTGCACCTTGCCCCCCCTGTTCCGAAACCAGTATCCATTTATACATCTGGGTGAGGAGAGGCACTATGAGAGTACAAACACAATGCAATGATCCCCAATAGGGGTCCATTGCACCAACCATTGGGTCATCATGCCTCCTCCTCCAGAGGGTTAGAGTGGAGTTCACCTTAACATGACAGTTATAAGTCTAATAACCTTCTACAGGGGCAATTTGAGTGTGTTGAAACCTTTTTAACATTGCTTAACCGATAGCAACTTAAGGCGACTTAAGGCGACTTAAGACGACTTTAGGCGACTTTAGGCGACTTAAGGTCCCAGAGTAGGCCTAATCCACCCACGGCTTTCTGCCCAAAATTCTAGTCTGGGGCAGACTCAGACTTAAAGATTCAATAAAACATAAAGCATATGGAGGTCTCGCAGAAATAATCGGTGCCGTGTTTAAGTATTGAGATATCAAACCTAGGCTATTAATAAAGGATAACCTGCACGTTTTGCATCAACTCATCATTAAAACTACGGTCGCATTCGTGTATGTAAGCGAACAATTGCGTCTGTGTTTCCGTGTTTTAGTCTGTTATTTCGTAGTTTTTGACGTTCACCTGGGAAAAATTTAAATTATACGAAAACAATTGCTCGCCTCGGGCTCAGTGAACTTTGGTGAATAGTTACCTTGACTTCTTGTCGGTCGGTAAATATTCACCAATGTTCACTGAGCCTGAAGCGAATGATTGTTGGTTATAAATTACCCTCCTACCCTTAGGTTGTTAAATTGGTATGGAGTTTTTCGTCCTCACACTAACAAGGCTGCCTTGTTTATTTTCGTGATTGTGCTGAGCTGAATGGATTTGGAACACCTACTGGTTTAAAACAAATTTTATATCATAAATGAACGATCCTGACAGACTTTGCATGTTACCTTTGTAAATAATGCAGACACCGTCAACGTATCTATTTAATCACCTGTGTTACATAGCTGCAAGGGAAAACGAAACATAAAATCCATACTCGACCTGTCAGGGTTTATAAATACGTCTTCAGTTAATATTTTTGTACTCACGTTGCTGTAACGCTAAGCAGAAGAACAGCATTTTACAGCTCATAAAGAAAAATTACCTAGGTGATCAAGATATTCACATGTGAAATAAACTAACTTATTTCCAGCTTAATTTACAAATGATTTTCGTCCGAATTCACATCTTGAATATTCGACCTAATTTATTACTTTGTGACACGTATTTGCATGTCGATCAGGGTGAGAAAGCTGTTCCTTTTCCCCCACCCTATTAAAACTGTTTATTCAATGATTATTGATTATTCGCTTTCGCAATAAGCAGAGCTCTCCTTTGTTGTCTATAATTGTAGTTCGTTCACAACTTTGCAGACATTTTGCGTGGTGTTTGCTTACTGTTGATCGTAAGTCAGAAGGTAGAAGAACGTTTGAAGCATAACGACAAGGACATCATGGCAAAAGCAATCGCCATTACATTTATTGTTGTAATCGTAACCGAGGCAATCGTCATCATCATAGGAAACACGTTCACCATTTTTGTCTTCTGGACTCAGAGATTCCATCTCAAGCGAATTTGTTTTCTACTGATCAATCTCGCGGTGGCTGATCTACTTGTGGGAATAGCAGAACCCATTGTCCTCGGAGCCGATACATTTGACAAAATGGTATCGCTTGGAAAAAAGGAAGGCAAAATAATCATTCTTTCAACTGCTTTTCAAGTCCTTGGTTCAAGTACATCGGTGTTCTTTCTTGCCATAATCTCACTGGAACGAGTTTTCGCCGTGTTGTGTCCTCTTCGTCACCGGGTAACAAGTATTCGCCCTTACATTTGTAGCATCTTTATGAGCTGGGCAGCTGGATTCTGTCTGGCTGGGATCTTCTTATTAGATACATACCACAGAGAAGTCGGTAGGTTGTATGCTGCTGTGGTTATTCATTCGTGCCTTTTGGTATCTGGGTTGGTTATCTGTGGAAGTTACCTCACGATCCGTAGTCGACTGCGCTCTGCACCACGTGATCTTCAGGTGCACAACCGAAATTTAACTGAGCGGAATTTACGACTTTCTAGGACATTGTTTATAGTAGTTGCTGTGTCACTTGCGTTTTGGCTGCCAGGTTTTGTAGCGTACGTCTTAAGAGAGTTCTGCTGGGAATGTATCTCTCCGCCAATAGCGTCGACGGTAAATGTCCTGCGCTTGGCAAATTCCATGGTGAATCCATTCGTTTACAGTTTTAGAATGCCAATATTTAAAGATGCCTTTAAGAAGCGCAGGAGAAATATTAGAAGAACCACTGAGTTAAGAGCTGTTAGAGTAAATACATCGAGTAAAGATCATGAAACGGGCCTGTAGTTTTCAAACAACTGTAGTTTGGTACGATACAAGAGAAAGCTGGGTAACGGATAATAGTGCAATTTTGTACGGAGATTTTATCGATAAATAGAGTTGCAATTAATTGAACATTTGAAAGTTAAAACATAGTACAGCCACTCATTTTCTTAGCCTGGCCTCAGGTTGGATTTTGCTTGACCGTAAAAGAAGTTTCAAAAATCAAGTTCTTATTATTTGTTTTTTCATGTAAACAATCGACAATTGTGAGAACGAAATAGTAAACAATGGTGATGCTCTATTGATATTTGTATAAGATTACTAAGATCATTGCGGAGACGTGAGATTATAACGTTAAACCATGCTAGCTTAATTCATTCTGAGGTTTAAATATATGCAGATAATCTTCATGCTAGTTATGGTATCAGTATACCCCAAATGACCATCATTCTTTGCGCCGCTTTACGGTCGGCCGTTTGACTCAAACCCGAGTAAAGTATACATTTTCAGAAAGCTTTAAAAATAGTAGTTTACCAAGTCATGTTCGTTTAAACCAAACATTATAACGTTTTCAGGATATAACGCCCGATTTCCTAAAGTACAGAGGTTCACTAATCAAGTTCGTTTCTGGTCGCATTCGAGTGGGAGGAAGCAATCAACATCGCTATGTCTTAACACCCTTCTCTATAAATACACTGTTGGAAAATATTACTTGTTTAGTTTATTTTTGACAAGCAGTTTAACTTTGCGAGTTGAATTAACTTGCATTCCCTTCACTAAATCACCATTTAAAGGAACTAAAACTTAATAATTCGCCGACATGGCTTTTTCCACGATTTCTGGCAACGTTCTCACCAAATTTCAGCGAAAAATGTTGAAAACTCACCGAAAGCGCACTCAAAATGTGCGCTTCACTCGCTTAAATTTTCGTTTCAACAAACGAGCACAAATAGACTTTAGGTCTTTCTTCCGGTGTAATGAGATAAGTACACGAACAGCATGAAAAGGATGACGCGTTGATCCACAAAGTGAAGGCCCATTTTACTTCGTACCAATTACAAAGGGTCTCAAATGTAAATATCCTTTGCAACATCTAAATTTCGTCCGCTCGCGCTTCAAATAGTTTTCGATTCTAGTTGGTCTTTCGATTTTCAAAATGCCCTAGCCTAATATAGATTCACAATCTATCTAGTCACAGGTCGAGAAATATAGCCGACAACGAAAAAGCGCATTCGTAACCAACGAAAAGGAAACCCACTAGATACCGATTGCAATCAATGCTACCGTTACTGCTTCAAAATTTGAAACCACCAAAGAAGTGATGCTTAGCTAGAGATTGTAAAACATCAGTCTCCTCGTCGAGTGTAAACAACTTCCCCTACTCAAAGTAGGAACCTTTGTCGCTAGCAGCTACCGCATCAGCCCAATCCTTATCATATGATTTTAAAATTAAAAGCAATATCCAAACACCGTCATGGTTATAATGTCGTTTATTTCACCTTAATGACTCATAATGAATTTGGGAACTTCAAGTGAGAAGAAAGGACATTTTAACTCTTTGAACAGTTTTAATCAGTATGAAACTTGCATGCTGCCACAAAAATGTTTCCAATAGTTAAGGATTCGAGATTTTTTCTCAACTCCAGCTCATCAAATCTCATTTGCTGGCAAGTTAAAAAAAGTGACGTTATTTACCCCTTAAAAGACCCATTTCTTAATTGCTTAAAGTGTGTCTAAGTAAAGATATATTAGGAGCAACATTGACGCATCATTTCTACAAAACAAAATTTAGTTAAAGCTTGTTGAATATTTTGTCCTGTTCAAGGAATTGTATTACCTGATACCTACTCGAACGCCACCAGTTTCTTTTCTTAAAATGTTAACATTTGCTTTCAGTGTTGTTTCCTAACTCAAGATGATTCTGAATTCATGATTTAGTTTGTTCAATATTATTTTTTCGGCTCGAGATGACGCTGAAAGAATGTGGAAGGAAGCACTTGCAGGTATATTCGGAACTTTACATATTTTGATAAACGATCAAATTGTTCGTTATGACATTTGCAAGTTAGGTAGCTATCCCAGCTAGTTAATGTTGTCAATTGTGTTATAAGTAAAGGGGAGTGATTAAAGATTCTTAATCTGAAAATCAGCTTTATTAGAGGGGCATGGTTTTACATCCCTTCTGTACGAGCTGAGTAAAAGTTACAAGCGTTATTTTCACGGTGCCACTTCTAGAACAAGGACGCTATAAAGAAAATAGATCGCTCAAATCGTCAGTTGAGGATCAAGGATGCCCGCCTCTAAAGAGAAGACACCATAACATCGTTACATTCTGGAATAAATCTACAGCTAAGTTTGAAACCATGTGAGGGCAAGTAAAAATTATTTCACGTGTAGAAGCCACAAATGTAATAATTGACATCAAATGTAATAAGGCTTAACCACAAATGTAATAACCGGCCAGAAAAGGAATAAGAGCTTGACCACAAATGTAATAAGGGTTTGACCACAGATGTAATAATTAACCACAAATGTAATAACGACCACAAATGTAATAACCGGCCACAAATGAAGTAAGAGCTTGACCACAAATTTAATAAAGGTTTGACCACAATTGTAACCAATGAGGCAATATGTACATCATCATATAGTAAACAATTCCCAATTACCACTAATGACTTAATTAACTACACAGTATGCCTTCCCGCGACTAACACAACTTATATATGAACTCCTAATAAAATTATGTCTTCCAATGAATGTCTGTAACGGCAAACCAGCCACATGACTGGGGACGAAGCTTGAGCCTTGCCAGATGCCATTTCGGGGGCTGACAATTTCCTTCAGGCGAATAACAGCACCGCTTTGTTTGCCTTTCATTTCAGTCATGCTGCGCACGCCGATGGTTGTCGGCTTGGCTGGAAGCTCGGGGATTTAAACGCTGGGAAACGTACTCGTTCAACCGTAGCTTTAAAGAATCTGTTCACCGCTTTTAAATTGTTCCTCTTGAAAGGAAATGAAAATAGCAGCACCTTTATTATAATTTCCAGAACGTCATCGTTTAAAAACTGTTGCGCATTTGTCTCTTGTTCCTGACTGGTCAAGTTGTCGTCTACGTGTTCATTATCATGATCAAGCAATACGTCATCTTAAATGACATCATTTACACCTTCGCGGTCAGTTACGTTATCATTTATGGTATTATTTCCGTTTTCATTACACTGAAGCCGTGGTACCAAACTGACAGAATGTTCACCATGATTCTCAGCAAAGTGGCCGAGATGGACAGTGCCCATGGCGTGGCTGGATATAGAATGAAAGGTATGGCTCGCGCCAAGCTTAAGGGTTGAAATTACATGGATATTAATATCAAACAAATTCGCAGCAGCATAGAGTGTTAGCTGATCACCAAAAGTATTACTCCGTGCCATGTACTGCAAGTAATTCTCCTGTAAATTAAACTTTGGAACTAATTCCAATAGGAGAAAACCATCAACGTCCAGAGGGTTTTCTACCAAGTACAGAACAATTTCCTCTGGCAGCGTTTCTTGTGACCTAAAAATACCAAGTACACTCAAGTGATTGGCTAACCCGGCGAACTGACAGTTGCCATCTCCTAGTGGATTAAACACAATGTCATCACCCTGATCTTCTATAATTTCTTCGTAGTCATCCTGTTTCATGGGGATCAGATATCTATTGCGATGATATTCTTTCTTCCCCTTGGTTAGCTTTGCAACCATTTGCTTCATTTTTTCTTCTTTAAGCGTTAGCCTAGTTATATCATCAACCATTAACCATTTCTTTTCCATTTTGCCAGTTAGTGAAGAGACGAATGATACCTTGTAAGAGTGTCTTTTAAGGTTTCTTCTCTCATTGGTCCTCATTAAAGCTTCTATGACGTGACACCTTTTTTGCCCACCTTTACTTCCTCATTTCTTTGGAAGCCGCATGTAAACTTTTTCGCTTATACGATATTTTGAAGTGGGTTGCATTTTAACTGTGCGTTTACCATTCTTCTGTTACATCTTCAGTTGCAGCACGAGCATCCTTTCTTATTGTTGAAGCATTCAGTTTTAGCGCGCCGTTTTTTGTGAGCCTCAACAAGATGACCTTTGCCTGCATTGGTCAGCAGCTCATCATTCATTACATCAGTTTTACTGG